GTCCTCTCTAGATGTAGATAATGCATTTGGAGGGCAGCAGGTTGAAGAAGATCAATTGCAATGTATGCTGAGGATATATTAGTTGTATATGGGAAACAGATCAATTGCTGAAATTCTTGCAACCTCATCCCTTCTTTAAAAATCTTGCTTGGAAGAACTTTTTTTGTTTTAAACAGATGCAGAGACTGAAATATCATCCAGTTAGGGACAAGAAGATTGAATGAGTTGTTTCATCCAGTTGTCAGGATAGTGATTTAAGTCCTAGAGCAGCCCTGGAAAACAGAGCTAGCCTTAGATTATTTATATATATGTGGTGTGTGTGTGCGTGCGTGTGTGTATATATACACACACACACACACACTGAACACTATATAGTTTATATTGTTCTTGATCAGACCACTCCAAAGTGTTTATTGAGTTGAAAAAAAAAACTTTAAGGAAGTAACAGCGTCCTTTTCTGTTTTGGAGAATGCCAAAACACGGACTGCTCCTTTGGCCAACAAATAAATTCTACATTGTCAAATCTTTACCTCACAATATCAGCTGAAATGGCTGCTGAGTTCATAATGTATGCTCATTCCCAGATATTCATCACACGTATATTTTGGAGCAACAGTGTCTGTAATATGCTGAGATGACATCAAAACTATGATTCATGCATGTGGTCATAATACAAATGCTGCATCTTCAGCATTTATGTGAGCATGTCATTACACTCATATCATCACTGCATCTCCCTCCCACACACACATTATCCTTATTAAAGTAAATTTTATTCAAAAACAGTGTTTACTCCCAAGCTAGGTCTTTCGAGCCTTGCCTTAAAGCTATAGAGATCCTACTAAATTCTTTTAAAATGAGAACATAACTTCACATAACCTAATCCAGCTTTCTCCACCCTGGTACCCCTAGGTCTATTGGGAGTACAGCTTCCATGTTACAATAACTACCATGGTTATTGGCCATGTAGAAACAACAAAAAGGAAAGGCGCTAGGTTGGAAAAGGCTGTTATTGAGAGTAACCCCCCCCCCCATCCAGCCATTTTAGAGAAAAGAAACAGGAAATATGGTGCTTGATGCTAGGCAAATATTTTCATTCTTCCCCTCCTATCACATGGCAATCTGGCATACTGTATATTTGATATAACAAGTCTTTGATGAACTTATTTGCATGACTACAAATAGCTACCTTTGTCCCAGCAGGATTAACCAATTAAGAAAAGATAGCTCTAGCATGTGTTAACAAGAAAAAGGAACCACAGGAGTCTTCTTCAGGCATTTATGCCCCTCATAGGATCAGAAGAATTACACAGATGAGTCTTCTAGTACCACCCACTCTGTCACTTCACTGTGTCCACCACCCTCTTCTCACTCAAGATTTTCGGCACAGTTTTGATCCTTAATCTTCCAGGGTCCTCTAATCGTGTGGACACTCTTCACAAGCACAGACAACTTCCTGCTGCAGCTGTACTGAATGAGCAATGAAGCCAACTACTGGAATACAGTACAAGAGAGAGGGTAGAACCATTCAAAATGCAAAACAAGGATAACCCATGGGAAGGGGAAGCAGAACATTCAAGTAAGTTGAATGAGCATAGGGAAAATCAGTCTCCATGTGAACACTGATGTTTCTCCTATTTCACAAAATTAGGGGCAAAGCAGAAGACTGTACTCTTTTAACAAGTAAAAAGATCATTTTGCTGATCTTTTGGTAGGCTCTTGTGGGAGTACAGTTAACTTATAGGTGTGGTTGACATGTTTCTTGTTTAACTTTGATTTAAAGTACAGTATTTGCAATTATAAACCATAGTTTAGTGTTCAGCAAGTTGGGCAAACCTAGACAATTGTGGTTTATTCAACAATTGTTAATCCATGGCTTAGCATGATGTGTGAATGCAGTCAGTCTCCCTTCCCAGTACAGAGCTGGTGCTGTTACAGATAATATTGATCACAAGGTATTTTGTAATTTACGGAGTTCAAAAATATCATAGGTGATGTATTCCAATGTTCATCAGACAGCAAAAATCAGCTTCCATGCATGAACCCTTTTATTTCATTGCAACATTAAAGAATACAATTATCAATATGAAATAAACTCTCAATATTTCACACAAAGCCAATTTATAAATCAAACAAGCAGCTCTGGCCCATGTTTTAGAAGGGGTCTGACTCCCACCTAATTTTGTTTTTAAATGGGATGTATCAGATTTATCAGGTTTTGTACAGAACAATGTATTTTATTACCTTAGCTAAAATAATATGTTTTTGGTATAAATGCCAGTTTAGGGGTTAGGGTTAGTTTGCATGTCAAAAGGAAAAAGGAAAGTTATTTTCAATTTCAAGTGCTGAATAACTGTTTTAGCCTTATTGTACCCCAGTGAAGCCTTGCTCTTTTGTCATTTATTTATATCCTAATATAATACTGAAAGGATGGGGCCACTGGCAAATCCCACCTTTTAAAAAGAACTAAATGGGCAAATTCACTTCAAAAGCCTGCACAATTATTTTAGACCAAATTAGTGGAGAACACACATGTTCTTTATTAAACAATCTTTTAAAACAAGGCTCTCAAAGTTTACTTAACCAATCTCCGTTACACAATCTATAACATTATCTTAAGCAAGTTACTCATAAGTAGTATGCAGAGGTCTATGCTAGAGTCTCACTCTAAGGATATGTATGCACACTTAGTAGAGCATGAAGTCATCTGGACCCACTTTAATTCAACACACAATTTATTTCTTGCTCTGTCTAGATTTCCAGTAAGATGTATCAGTACGTACCCAAATACTTTGATCCAAAGTTAATAGGATGCTTTTATGTTTCCATCTTTTTTTTAACAGAAAAGAGTGGAATTCGGGTTTTATCGCATTGTATAAATGAGGAACCTTAAGGATTATAAATACACTAAGGATTGCTGTCTGAATGGGACGCAATTACTTCAGTCCTTGTGCTTTTTCAATCAGCCAGCGTCCCTGCAGTGTTTAGAGTGGTAAAGGGGAAGTGGCCTGTGGTTAAACAGAGGAAATGCCAAGGAATTTTAATACAGCAAATAGTCTTTTTACTTCCTACAGGATAGCACTTCAAAGGCAGCCTTCCCCAGAGCAGACAATGTGTTACAGGGGCCATCAGTCATTTAATAGTATGTCAAGTCTATTCAAAATGTACAAACAGACCAAGACAAATGCTATGCAAACAAGGCAATTCGTCTTATCCTGCAATCAGTGCTTATGAATATTGCCCAGCCTGTAGTCAGGGTTTTCTCTCCCCCTGCCCACACAAAACATTATAGGTATTTCTTAAATAACTAAAACGAATGTATTTCTAGAGCAAAGAGAACTTCATGATAACTAAAAGCAACCTTTGGCTGAGCGCAAATTAGTTGTGTTGTGAAGGAATGAATTCTGTGTGTTTTTCACATAAACTGAACATTCTATGGCTTTTTTGTCAATAGTGCAATTCATTTCATTTTTATCAGAAAACACACCACTTCTTTGGGAACAGATCTCATTAAAGCACTTGAGCTTCTAAGATTCTGATGTACATATACAAAGCCTTTAAAATGTGTAAATCAAATATTAACTTTTTCTTCAAGACCCATCAGTTAATAAAATCTAACCCAAAATATATCCAATGTCAAGTTGTCTTTGTAAAAGTTTAGTTCCTTTTGTATAGCTACATATACATTTTTACAGAGAACTACCCTTCCCTGTACGCACACAGCTACTCATTACCAGTTGGTCACTTGTTTTATTTTTTTATAGTTGCTGGACGACCCCCCCCCCTTCCCCATGACCTGATCCCAAGGAAATCTTTGTAGCAGTTTAACAAAAAAAGAATCACTGAAAGTCACTTGTGCCAGTCATCTGGAATCTTTAATAAGACTGAAAACGGAAAGGAGCAGGGTCCAGAGGAAAGCGTTTTTCTTTTACACACACCAAGGAAAATCACACTTAGGGAACCCAGGAGGGAATCTGCAACTTCTGGGAGAGACAAAAGGTGAAGCCCTAAAACGCTCTTTTTTATCACCTTACCAACACTCCCAGTTCCCCTCTTTCCCTCTAATGATCAGGCCTGTAACCAAACCAGCCTCCAGTGATTAAAATAACAAAGGCCAAACGATAGCCTTTTATCCTCTTCTCCCGGGGCAGGTCTAGTTAAGGCGGGAGAAGAATAGGGAGAGAGGCGGATAAAAGACCTGTGGAGCGACTTCGCACTTGTTGCTTCGCCCCCCTCCGCCCCCCCCCCCCCCTC